CTCCCCTCCCCTCCCCTCCCAGCCCTGAACTTCGCCTGACTTCGCTCCCTCCACCGAGGCTGCAGAGCTGGGGTCCCCCGGGGCAGGCCAGGGCTCCCCCTTGAAAAATGTATAGGGAACTTCTCTCTTTGCCAAGTCACACAGAGGGACGCGGGCTGAGCTCACCAGCTAGTTTGACCCTGGACAAGTCCCTTCCTCTGCACAAAAGGTGATCTGACCCAGTGATACGAGGCACTCTGAGTCTGCAGGTCTCTCCGGTGCTTTCTGCCTTTATAACCGGCCCTTTCCGAGCCCATCTCCACTCACCCGAGAGGAAACTGGGGAGAGTGGAGGGAGTAAGTCAGCCCCAGGAGGTGCGTCTTTCTGCAGGGCGCCTGAGCAGGGAGGGGCGCAGGGAGGGGTGTCCCTTCGGAGGCTTAAGCTTCACATCACTGAGAGAGTGCCACAAACCAGGGAGCTTGCCAGGCTTCCTGAGAATTTCCTGCGATCATCCAGCCAAGATTTTGCACCTCTGGACTGAAACACGCCTCCTTACTCCATTCAGGAGGAATTTGGCCCCTGGCTTTCCAGCGAACCACATGTGTTCAGTGAGAGGCTGGGGATGAAAGCTCACTCACCCATGCCCAGGGCAGGGCAGCCAAGTCAAAGCAGTGACCCAGTGCAAGGCGGTCCTCTCGGGCCTGGGGGGAGAGCCTGCACAACTTCAGACTGGATACATACACACCACGGCCCTTCAAGGGGTATGTATTGGTTTCCTATGATTGCCATTATGAAGTCCTATAAACTTGGCAACTTCAAACAACACAAATGTATTATCTTACAGCTCTGGAGGTCAGAGGTCTGAGCTGGGTCTCACTGGGCTAAAATCGAGGAGATGTTAGCACAGCTGCATTTCTCTCTGGAGGCTCCGGGAGAATCCGTTTTCTTGCCTTTTCCATCTTCTAGAGGCTGCCCCCATTCCTTGGCTCATGGCTCTCTTCCCCCATTTTCAAAGCCAGCAATGGCCAGTTGAGTCTTTTATGTCATATCACTCTGTCGCTATCTCTCTTCCCTCCCTTCCACTCATAAGGACCCCTGTGGTTGCACTGGGCCTCCAGGATCAACCAGGATAGATGTCTCCTCATCTTAAAGTGAGCTGATCAGCAGCCTTAATTCCATCTGCAGCCTTTATCCCACAACATGTAATATAACATCGTACGTTATGTCATCATGGGCCAGTCATAGAGTGGCTGGAAAAGGCAAGAAAACCAGTAAGGTAGAAAATCAAAACTGTGTGCTACCGGATAGGCCTCAACGAGAAGGACAGCGTCACCTCTGAAGTCTCTGCTAACAATACAGAGCCTGAGTCACAGAGTGAGGGAACATCAGGCCAAGGGAAACTGAGGGAGAATCTACAAAAAACTGGCTTTTTCTCTTCAGAAGGCCATGAAAGTCAAAGGAAAACTGAAAAGCTATTCCAGATGAAAGAAGACCGAAGAGATATGATAACTAAAGGCAGCACAATTCTGAATTGGATCCTTTGTTACAAAGGACAGTGTTGGAACAATTAGTGCAACTCGAAAGGGAAGAGAGGATTGCATGGTCCTCTGGCATCCCTGCCGGTTTCCCGATGGTGATGTGGTTCTGTAGAACGTCCTTGTTTGTTAGAGACACACGTTACAGTGCTTGGAGGGTGGGCCATCTAGTTGGCGACATACTCTCAAATGATTCAGAACACAAAATGTAATTTTTTTTCTACTTCACTTTCAAATTTCTGTAAGTTTGAGATTGTTTCTAAATTAAAACAAAAAACAAAACAAAACAAACCAAAAAATCCCAAAAACAAAACACATCAAGTGTAACAGTCTGTTCTCATTCTTTAAAATAATTTAACACTTGCCCGGCTGGGTGTGGCTCAGCAGTTGAGCATTGACCTATGATCCAGGAGACCATGGTTCAATTCCCGGTCAGGGCACATGCCCGGGTTGCAAGTTCGATCCCCAGTCGGGGGTGTGTGGGAGGCAGCCGATCAATGACTCTCTCATCATTGATGTTTCAACTCTCTCTCCCTCTCCCTTCCTCTCTCCGAAATCAATAAAGATATATTTAAAAATAAATAAATAAAATAACACTTGGTGGAGATGCTATAGAACTGGAGATTAGAGAAGTGTATTAATGAGAAGTTAATTGACAATGAAGTGGCCGTGTCTGGTGATCTCTGAGCTCCCAGCTGTGGATGCCATCATTATCACACTGTCCTATGTTGGTCCTGAACCACATGGCCACCGGCCCCTATATTTTATTCTGCCTTAAAGATCAAGCCTGAATTTAAAAAGAGTGCATCTATTGTCCCAAGGAGAGGAAGAAATTGGGGACGAAATGCATCAGGGAAACTTTGAGTGCTCCTGCCTTAGCAAAGAAGAGAATACTTCATTTATTTATTTATTGAATGCTTACCATGTCCACACTTTAGGAATGCAGCAGTGCATAAAATGGTCTCTTTCCTCATGCTTGCATGTGCTCTAGTTTGGGTCGTGGGAGACAGAAGGATAAGAGAAACTAGTAAGTGTATGTTATGTACGGTAGCGATGAAAACCATGGAGAACTAGAGCAGGCCAGGCGGCCAGGAGCGATTGAGAGGGAGAGCTCCTGTTTATGTAAGGGGGTATTTTTTAAGGAGTGATTCATTAGCTCAAACTGCGGGGGTGGGGGGGAGGACTCCTGGCTCTATACTCAACTGCACAGAAGAAAAAAATTGAGAGAAAGAGAATAGTAACTCCACCCACTAATAAATGCAGCTCCATCGGTGTCCAGGAAATCCGACCTGATTAGAGAGTCTCATATGGAGGGTGGTGTCAGGAAGGGATGAAAGTACCAAGGGATGTCTACAACCCTAGTTCACCCCACTCTTTATATTTTCTTAACCCGCTGAGCTCAACCAGAGCCTGTGAGTAGCCTGGGTGGGGTTCTCCTCCTTAGAGGAGCAGACCAGCTGTGTCAGGGGTCCCGCTCTGGTCCAGGGGCCCACTGCCCTGACATTTATCACTGCTCTTTGGAATCCTCCTGGGATCATTGAGAGCAGAACGTCAGCTGTGCCCCACGAAACTCTGAAGTGAGTAAAAGAGATTAGTTCAGGAAACAAGAAGGATACACCGTAATAGTACCTACTCTTTTTTCTTAGCGCCATTGCGGTATAATTGACATGCAATAAACTGCACATGTTATGTGTTGACATATATACACTTGTGAAACCATCACCACAATAGGTATGTCCGTGAGTGTGTGTGCATGTGTGTGCGTGTCAGACCAAATATTTCCTCCTGCTCTTACTTGCATCACCCCCAACCACAGGTGGCTGTTGTCCTGCTTTCTGTCGCAGGAGATTAGTCGGCATTTCTAGAATTTTATATAACTGGAGTCATACAGGATGTGCCCACTTTTGTCTGCCTTCTTTCACTCAGCATTATTTGAGATTCGTGGATGTTTTGTTCGTCAATATTCTGCTCCTTTTTACTTCTGCATAGTAATCCACTGTGTAGATCTACCCCAGTTGGGCTATCACTCACCTTGTCACTAGCTTATCTGTTGACCATTGGAAAA